GCATTGCCTCAAAATAAAGGGAAGCAGATGTAGGACTGAGGTCAGGAGGAACTTCTTCACCCAAAGGGTTGTGAATCTGTGGAATTCCCTGCCCAGTGAAGCGGTTGAACCTACCTCGCTGAATGTTTTTAAGGCAAGGCTGGATAAATTTTTGAACAGTAAAGGAATTAAGGGTTATGGTGTGCGGGCGGGTAAGTGGAGCTGAGTCTCAAAAAGATCAGCCATGATCTTATTGAATGGCGGGGCAGGCTTGAGGGGCCGGATGGCCTACTCCTGCTCCTAGTTCTTATGCTCTTATATTCTTACTTGCTACAGAATTCCAAATGATTGACCTGCTCAAGCGCCCACTATATCTGTATGCTAGTCCAGTTCAGTTTCTGGTCAATGGCCATGTCCAGGAAATTGGTAGTGAAAATTCAGCGACAGTATTGCTATTGAATGTCAGGGGAGTTGGGGAGCATATACATGCATTCTTGTTGGAGGTGGTCATTATCTGGATACATCGGAAAAGTCATGAATGGTACTGAACATTCTCTTTAACGGGACAACTATAGGCTGCCACCAAAAAACAGGCTCTTAAAAATATAATATTCTCAATATAGAGCGGGGAAGGACAGCAGTGCACCTCCTGGCTCAACGTCAGATCTGGTGGAGTAGTGGAAGCAGGGTTTCATCAAGTTTTATGTAGTCATTTTGTAGTATAGAACTTGACAATTGCTGCCTTTTTGAGCAATATTATAGTTTAATGTATAAGGCATTCAGTTAGAGTCATAGAGTCATGCAGCACAGAAACAGACCTTCTGTCCAACTCATCTGTGCTGACCAGACACTCCAATCTGATCTAGTCCCATTTGCCAGTATTTGGCCCTCATCCCTCAAAACCCTTCCAATTCATATACCAATTCAGGTGCCTTTTAAATGTTGTAATTGTACCCACCTCCATCACTTCCTCTGGCAGCTCGATCCATACATGCACCACCTGCTGCATGAAAAGGTTACCCCTCAGGTCCTTTTTAAATCTTTCCCCTCTCACCTTAAACCTATGCCCTCTTGTTTTGGACACCACCACCTCAGGAAAAAGACCTTGTCTATTTACCCTATCCATGTCTCTCATGATTTTATAAACCTCCATTGATTGTTACACGTACCAAAATGAAAAGCTTTGTTTATAAGCGTACAGAAGGATTCCAGTAAGTAAGGATGTACAGATCAAAAAGACATAGACAGAGGTTACAATGCACAGGGCATGTACGAGGCGAGATTAACATTAGTGAGATCAGCATTATTTGAAGCTACAGAGTCCATTCATCAATCTAGTAATGGCAGGGAAGAAGCTGTTCTTGAACCTGCTGGTGTGTGTGTTCAGGCTTCTGTATCTTCTGCCTGACAGAAGAGGTTGTAGGAGATCATTACCAGGGTGCGATGGGTCTTTGATAATGTTGGCAGCCTTTCTACAGCAGTCAGCTGTGTAAATGGAGTCCATGGATGGAAGGTTGGTTTCCGTGATGGTCTGGGCTACACATACCACCTTCTGTAGTCTCTTATGGTCCTGGGCAGTGCAGTTGTTATACCAGGCCATTGTGCACCCGGACAGTATGCTACCAATTGTGCATCTGTAGAAGTTGGTCAGGGTCCTTTTGGACATGCCAAATTTCCTGAAATATCTGAGGAAGAAGAGGTGTTATTGTGCCTTCTTGACCACGCTCATCCGTGTGGGAAGTCCAGGATAGGTTGTCGGTTATCGTTACTCCAAGGAACTTTACGCTCTCTACCCTCTCAAACTCAGTTCCATTGAAGTAAATGGGGGTATGTTCTCTTTCTTTCTTTCTGAAGTTGATGATTAGCTCTTTAGTTTTGTCAATGTTGAGAGAGAAGTTGTTCTCATTGCACCACATCATCAAGCCCTCTATCTCCCTTCTGTATTTGACTCGTAGTTGTTAGAAATCCTTCCTACTATGGTGTTGTCAACAGCAAACTTGTAAATGGCAGTCATTCGGAATTTGGCAACACAGTCGTAGGTTTACAGGGAGCACAGTAGGGGGCTGAGGATGCATCCTTGGGGGGGCTCAAGTGATGAGCGTTATTGTGGAGGAGGTGCAGTTACCTATCCTCACTGATTGCGGCCTGTGGGTCAGAAAGCTGAGGATCCATTGCAGAGGGTGGAGCCAAGACCAAGGTCGTGGAGTTTTGAGATCAGTCTGGAGGGGATAATGGTGTTGAAGGCAGAGCTGTAGTCAATGAACAGGAGTCTGATGTCGGTGTCTTTGTCATCCAGATGCTCCAGGGATGAGTGCAGGGCTAGGGATATGGCATCCTCTGTGGACCTGTTATGTCAGTTGGCAAAATGTAGGGAATGGAAGCAGACTGGGAGACTAGAGTTGATGTGGGCCATGACCAGCCTTTTGAAGCACTTCATGATTATTGAGGTCATAGTCATTGGGCGGTAGTCATTAAGGCACACTGTGTGTGCTTTCTTAGTTACAGTGATGATGGTGATCTTCTTGAAGCAGGTGGGGACTTTGGCTTGTAGGAGGGAGAGGTTAAAGATGTTGGTGAATACCTTTGTCAGTTGGTCCGCACAGGATCTAAGTGACACCGTCCAAGCCTGTCGCTTTCCTTGGGTTAACTCCAAGGAAGATTGATCTGACGTCAGCAGCGGTGACCGAAGGAACAGATGTGTCCAGGGCTGTCAGGGCAGGTGTTGCCACGCCAGGGGCATTCTGCTCAAACCGAGCATAGAAAGCGTTGAGCGCATCAGGGAGGGATATGGCTTTGTCCGCCATTTTGCTCTGCTCCATTTTGTATCCTGTAATGTTTTTTAGGCCTTGCCATAGGCGGCATGAGTCTGTAGAGTTGGTTTGGGCCTCTAACTTGGTCCCGTACTGCCTATTGGCCTCCCTGATGGCTTTGCAGGGCTCATACCTGGATTTCGTGTATTAGTCTGGGTCATCCTGACTTGAATGCTGCATGTCTGGTCTTCAGTAGGGAGTGGATTACTTGATTCATCCAAAGTTTACCCTTCAGTCTCAATTGCTCCAGGGAAAAAAGCCCCAGCCTATTCAGCCTCTCCCTAGAGCTCAAACCCTTCAGTCCTGGCAACGTCCTTATTAATCTTTTCTGCACCCTCTCAAATTTAACAACTTCCCTCCTACTGAAAGGCAACAATCCTCTTTGACACAATGTAGAAAATGGAAAAACACAATAATAAGTCCCAATTATTAATTTTATTCTTTTAACAAAACATGCAATATATCTTGAATTTGTTAATATTATCTCGTCATGCAATCCCCCACTGATCATCTCCCTTCCAGATGAAATAGCACATTTAAATGTCCATTAACCTTCCTCAAACAATTTTTTCAATACAACCACAGATATGTAGATTTCTTGGCGGTCTATTCTGACCTCTAATTTCAAAACATTGACCTGACAACAGAATTTATGGTTATTGATTTGGAAGTGTTGAAATACACTCTTTATAACCTTCCCCAATGGTCCTTCTGCACAGGAGACAAATATAGCCCTGTCAAAACTGCAAAGTCTACTGTACCAACATCTGGGGGTATTTGTCAATTTTGGAGGGCTGTTTCACAGGCAAGTCAAGCAACACCAAGCATACCCACAGAATTTTAAATTACAGCCAATGTGCCAAACACCACCACCACTACCCCTGGTATGTCCTGACCCACCAGCAGAATGAAATTACCAGAGGTGGTGGCAAAATGCCATACATTCAGGAAGAAGCTGCCCTGGGAGTCCTCAACATTGATCTCTGACTTCATGATATCTGGTAACAGATACAGACAGCTGTATTATGGCCAACTGAACCATTTTGGTTGATGAGTCAGTGCTCCTCCAAGTTTCACAACATTTGGATGAAGCACTGTGGATGAAAAAGGCACATAACATACTATAGGCAGGGACATTCAATGTCCACCACCAAGAGTGGCTCAGAGGTGATTAAGTAACATTCATGTCACACACGTGCCAAGCTATGACAAATCCCCAACAAGTGAGAACTTAACCACCACCCCTTGATGTTCCTTCACTAATGGGGGTTACCATTGAACAGAAATTGAACTAGACCTGTCAAAAACATAAAGTAGTTATAAGGACTGATTCGAGGCAGGGAATTTTGCAACAAGTAACTCACCTCTTGACTCCCCAAACCCTAGCTACCACCTACAAAGCAGAGGTCAGGAGTGTGATGGGATGCACCCTACTTTCTTAATGACTGTTGCTCCAACAATGCTGAAGAAGCTTGACACCATCCAGGCCAAAGCAGCCCATTTGCTTGACACTGCATCCACTACTTTCAACATTCACTCCTTTTATCAGTGATGCACAGTAGCAGCCAATGCACCATCTACAGGATGCACTTTCAACAGCTTTCAACAGCTCCTTCCAAACTTATGATCTTGACCTCCCAGACCTAGGGCAGCGGATGCATGTGAGCACCACCATCCGCAAGCTCTCTTCCAAGCTAAACGACATCTTGACTTGGAACAATATTGCCATTCCTTCACTGCTGTTGGTCTGAAATCCCGGAACTCCCTGCGTAACAGCATTATGAACGTCTCTACACACTAAGGGCTGCAATGGTTCAAGAAGGTAGTTCATCACCAGTTTCTGCAGATCAATGGGCAATAAATGCCTCGCCAGGGACACTCACATCTCATGAGTGAATAAAAATGTTAAGCTCCACTCTTTTGAGAACCTTCAGAGCACCAAGTAAAACGTGATGGAACTAGTAATTACATGACAAATATACTGTAAGTTATCAATATAAAAAGGAGTTGGTGCAACTCCTACATAGCAATCATTCCACATTTAAATGTTACCAGTTTAAAAGGATCATGATAGAGCTATTCACAGCATTCAATTGTTTATCATGCCATGAATCACGTGCTAAAATGTCATCAAATATATTTCATTCTGCCTGCCTACGGCAGTTATTGAAATAAAGTGCATTTTTTTTTCCTTCTTCGGATAGCACTTACCCAAAGCAACCCTTGCAGCTGAAGCATCATAATTGATCCAAAATGACACCCAGGAAAGAATTGTAATCAGTATGGATGGCATGTATGTTTGAAGAATGAAATAGCCAATGTTTCTCTTTAACCTGAAGCTCAGTGACAGCCTCGGGTATGCACCTGGGAAAATAAATAAGGAAAATGTCATTTAATATTAGAAATATAACCAGTGACAGTCTGCATTCACTGGGGTAGCCTCAAAGGTACACCCATAGGAAAAGCGAATGGAGGTGTCCTCTGGTCTGAATATATACAAGTATGTATTCATTTGGTAGTATAGAAATTATTGCTGAAAAAGACACACTACGTCATTTTTTTAAAATCTTATACTCATCAGGACAATATACAAGAAATATCAAAGAGAAAACAATAAATATATCCAGTTTGCAAGGAAAAAGTGCTGATTGGTTGGCAACTGAAGCCTAATTAGTAGAGGTGTTGCCATGGAGAATGCACCAGGTAAAAATGACTGACAGTTAACTGCCATGTGTTTTTTTTTTTTTTAAAAAACACTTTAAACAAGAGAAGTTGGCTCTGATTAGTCAAGGTATTGGCCTGAGAAATTAACCAGAGAACATCTGTCATCTATTTTGCTACCTGAATAACTGAACATGCTCTTTCTCTCTGCAAAGAAACAGGGCCCTCTGTATTAAAAATGTACCTTCCAGCATACACAAGTACAGCATGCTGTGAGCCTGACTAACAGTCCTAATTGGCAATAAGCATTTAATTCCTTATTATGACTAAAATTCCTTATCAGAAACTAGCCAGAAATGAATTTTCATGATGAAAAATGACACACTATTTCAAACCTGAAAGGCTTGAACTATTTTCAGCTGAGGCAGTGGGGTCAGGATGTGGGGCAAAAGGGACCAATTAAACATTACAAAAACTGTGACCAATGGATTTTTGCTGGACAAGACGATAATGGAATCAAGTTGGGTTGATGGTGTCCTTATATACATTAGCAGTGACCTACCTGAATGATTCTGAAGAAAGGTCACTTGACCCAAAACGTTAACTCTGATTTCTCTCCACAGATGCTGCCAGACCTGCGGAGCTTTTCCAGCAATCCCTGTTTTTGTTCCTGACTGGTGGAACAGGCTCAAGGGGCTGGGTGGCCTCCTTATGTTCCTATGTTATAGCCAGGAGCTCAGAGCAGAGCTGGGGAAGTGGCCAAATATCTAATTAGATTGAGGAATCATTTTAAGTTGGGAAAAGGGCATTGGCAGGATGAGAGTTTTGGAAAAGAACTCCCAAATGCAATGAACAGATGTTGGTGGTGGAGCTAAGAAAGGTGAATTGCTCATCAGATCAGATCTGTGCCAGAATTGCTGATAGTGAAAACTTTGACTTAGAGCTAACCAAAAGATGGAGGGCTAAGATCACGGAGGCTTCACGTCAGAGGAAGAGCCCTTATAATGCATTAGCGGAGCATTATTAATGTGGAATAGGACAATGCTAACCATTGTATCTCATTAATGGAAACATAATAAAAACTATTATCAAGCATTCATAAAAATTGTTTTGGCTGCTTAAAGATAGAACAAAGCTACTTTCTGTAATAAATGACTTCTGAGCAAACATGATGTTTTCCAATTCTGCACTTATTTTTTATCCATCAAAGTAAACTGCTGTGTAACTGTTGTCACGGCAAGCACAGAGCTAGAAGGCCAAGGGCATCAGTTATTGAAAAGAAAACTTCAGCATCAGGTTGCCCATTGACTGGAAGAATTTGGGACGCATTCTTCTGCCTTCGGCTTTCATTTTAATGCAGACGTGTGCGAACTCCCAATGAAGGGGCAGGTATTTTCATACTCCCACACAGGTATTTTCATTGCAATCAATAAACCAATGTCAAATAAATAGCTGCTGTTAATATAATTATAACATCAATGTATGTTCAGGTACAGAATTGATTTTTCTTCCCTGAAATTAATTGACGTGGTACTTACACTGTGCAAGAAGACTGAAACCAAGTATTGCGGTGAGATGCCTAACGTTGTGACCTATTGAGTGTGCAGATTCCTTTGGGTTTAATTCACTCTGTTCTGTCGTTACAATGCTTGATATTAGCTTCCTGCCTATGATATTCTATACAGTCAGCCCATTTATTTTGAAAGGGTTCAAGACTGTATTAAAATACTCGAGGCAAGAAGTTAATGCAAACCAATGAGCTAAAAATAGATCACAGAAGGAATTAAACCCTCAGGAGTACTGCAGTGTTGGCTACGTCTTTTCTGGGATTGCACAGTGATTGGTGAAAGGTCTTTGAAGACTTTTTTTTAATTAGCCTGTGCTACTTGTCCATTAGCCAGTTTGGCTGGAAAAGGAAATAAATAAAATAATGAAACTACTGAAAGAAAAACAAAGCAAACTAACAAGTACAGCTAGATCAGGCATTCTAGATTTCTGCTGTGATTTCCGTGGGTGGGAGAGGGTTGCTATGGATCCTGTGGTTGCTATGGTGAAAAGTTGCATCACTGTCATCAAGACAGTGAACAAACTGCTCCTGAAACACTAAATTGAGGATTTTAACTGTAGAGCTCTAAGGCAGCTTTCATTCCACCTGAACAGGTGGTTTCCCTGACACCTCTCAAGACAACAACGTGTGTCTTATTTCTGGTCTCCATTTTCTCAAGATTTACATAGAGTCTCCAGAGCTGGTCCAGACACTAACATTGTTTATTTGCAAGCACATCCGTGTACAGTTATGTTTGGCTGATGCTGGTACAGCTGTGGAATGCTCTCTGCAACATTAATAGGCAGATTCCACAGCACTGACAGCTCTGGTTATTGGAGAACCACTTTTACTTGGATAAAGAAACAATAACAGAGAATCAGGTCACAGTGTGTTGGCGTACTAATGTAATGCATGGCAAAGAGGTCTCAGGTAGTTTTGTGTTGACTAATATGGTGAGTTTGCAATCACAGGTACAGACTGGCATGGGGCACAGAATAGATTGTTCTGTGAAGGAGCAATTGACTTAGTGCCATTCCCCTCTCTTTTTCCGGGTGACCATGCAAGTTTTATCCTTTCAAATCAGAATTCAATTTCCACCTGAATTCTTCAGATGAACCTGCTTCTATCACACTGATAGGCAATGCATTCCAGAACTTAATTACTCACTAAGTGAAAACGTTTTTCCTCCGCTCACCATTGTTTCTTTTGCCAATTACCATAAATTGATGCTCCCTGGTTCTTGATCCTTTCACCCATGGAAACAGTTTCTCCTTACCTGCTCTGACCAGACAACTTCTGATTTTGTACATCTCTATCAAATCTACAGTCCACCTCCTTCTCTAAGGAAAACAATCCCAAATTCTCTGATCTACCTAAAAAGCTGAAGTTCTTCATCCCTGGAGACATTCTTGTGAATTTTTTCCATTCTCTCTACTGTCTTCACATCCTTCGTAAAGAGGGGAGGGAACAAAAGGCATTTTTTGCATAATTGCTTTGCTTTACTACTTGATGTCCCCATTGATGGATCCTAGGACACTGTGCGCTTTAATTACCAAGCTCTCAATCTGTCCTGCCACTTTCAACATATATACCTCAGCCAGAGTCATTTCAGGCACATCATTGTACAAAAGGAAAATTCTGAAAGTGACTTATACCAAAATAGAAACAGAAAATGCTGGAGAAGCTCAGTAAGTCTTGCTGTATCTGTGGAGAGATAAATAGAGATCTGAAGAAGAGTCACACTAGACTCAAAGCATTAACTCGTTGCTCTTCATAGATGCTGCCAGACAAGTTTCTCCAGCGCTTTCTGTTTTTATTTTAGATTCCTAGCCTCTGCATTATTTTGCCTTTAAGCAACCCATGCTATGTTGCTCTTTTGAAAGCTGAAGGCAGTATCTTCAAGTCTCCAAAGGGGAACATGCAGTTTAAGAGAAAAATATGTGGAGCATGTATTGGTTGTTCGATCTGCCACTGTAACCCATCAAATGTTATAGCTCCGTTCACTTGAGCAGATTTTCGTCCAAAATGCTGTTAAGGCAAGATCTTGTTAGCCATAGGGTGGGAGGGCATGAGCGTGCACCAACTTCAAGCCAGCACAATATTGTGCAAGGTGCAGGGCTGGATGAACACAGCAGGCCAAGCAGCATCATAGG